GCAGGGGGGAAGGAGGCGAGAAGGGAAGAGCGCGGGAGGTGGGGAGGGCGGGGGTTGAGGAAGCGGAGCCGTCGGGGGCGGTTGCTGGCCACGTTCGACTTACAGTTTTCACGGTAATTGAGCCTTTCCGTTCCTCAAACGCAGACTTTTTTCTTTTTTTTTTGAGCTGACACTTGTTGCTGTCTTCTGTCTTTTGCATAACCCTGAAACGCGGCTTTTGTAGACACTGAGAGGAAACCTGGTGGAATTGCTTTTGAAGCAGCCCCCTCGGGTTTGGGATACCTAAACATTTTTTCCTCAATGAAAAGCAGTAATTTTTTTGTATCAAAATGCTTATATTTACACTGCTTGTGTGTGTATATACAACCCATCTGGAAAATTGTTTTATGCAATTGTTTTATGTCGACACGATCGGTACAAAAGACCTAACAAACTGATTTATGTTGTATTTAGCTTGCCTGTCAAAAGCATCATTTATATTAAATTTTTGTACATTAATAGTTGGTGACAACATACTCTCAAAGTGTCTTATTAAAAATGTCACTTTATGCTTGTTTAGAAAAAGCAGTGATTTTTATCCCACAATTTAGTAGACACCTTCGTTACAAATTTGGTTTATATTTTCAAATGTGTTAGCATGTAAAACACATAGTATTTGTCTGTTTTCTAAATTGTGACCAGTATAAATGGTGTATTCTGAATTTTTGGTTTAAAATAGAATGCAGTGCTGCAATTTTTTGTGCCTTTGTTTTCCACAACTTTTTAAGTAGCTACAGAATTTTTCTAGTCACTATGCATACTATGGTTTCCTTTGGCCATTATTTGTTTTTTTAACATACATCTTCCTGTCTTCCATTGTTTTATAGAGTATGTGATAAATGTATGGACTCTGGGCACAAATTTTTGCCTAGTTTTGGATAAAACTTAGTATATTATTGATTCAAGATAGTTTTTCCAAAATATTGTGACTAGCAGTGTTTGAGTGTGTATTTCCCCTCTGCTGATTTTTCCCTTTATGGGCATTTTATTCTTGCATTTTTTTAGTTACTAGTAAATTTAAATTTTGACATACGGACAAATGTATATACTCTTGACACAATTTCTTCCAACAGTTTCCAAAATTTTTACTGTCTTTTAAATCCTTTCAGTTTCTTTATGCATATGTAAACGAAGAATATAGTTATATTCTTTTTTTACATTCTCTTTATTTTTATAAAAAAGATAGCATACCATATGCACTGCTCTGCAACTTTCTTGTTTCATTTCAAGATCTTCCCAAATTGTATATACAAAGCTTCTTTATATTTTTAAATAATTCTGTTGCTGCCCACTGAGTGGGTATGTCATAAATTATTAAACCAGTCCCCTCCTGATGGACATTTATTGTTTCTGATTTTTCTGTTGTTTACATGGATGGCAGCAAGGTTCAGAAGACTTAGACCACCAATGTCCTCCACAAGATACTCCAACAGATCATCAACCTGTTTAGCACAAAAGGTTGGTAGGAATGAGACTAACCTGGAGAAATTTTTTACTGGAGTGTATCATCGTTGGGAAGTCCTGAAGATCTGCTTGATGCTGATGTTGGAGTTGGAAGAACTCCCCTGAACAGTGACAACTCTATACTGGTTATAAAAAGGTACTTGCAAGGAATCAGTCTCCATCTGGAAATGAAATAATAGAGCCACTGTGTTTGGAAAGTTAGAGCAAGAAACCATGAGATCCTTCTCTTTATCATCAGACTTGTAAGATGAATAGCTAAGGAATAGACCTGTGCTCTTAATGAAATAATTATTGTGAACAGACCTCATTATCATACTCCCACATGTGTAGTTGTTTCAAAAGACTATTATATTTTCTCCCTTCATTATGAAATGAAACGAATCAAATTTATCAACTCTTGTTGGTAATGTTAAGCCACTATATATATGTTAAATCATTTAGTTCTTAAGGACATTAGACCATCGCACATGATTAATTTCCTTACATACTTAACTATCTCTTCTACATTTACTATATTTCAGTATTTTTGCTTATGTGATATCATGTTCACCTTTACATTGTGTTATTATAGTTCATAAGTGTTCACCTTTATATCTTTAAATCATTCTCTTTATTATTTAAAGTTTTACTTATAGAAATGTTTGCATTTGTTTATTCTTAATAAATCCATGCCAAGTCTATTTTGCAAACTCAAGTGAAAAATCGAACTCCGTTCATTCATTCATTTTATTAAAGCTATATTTAACAGTTGATGTGACTATCTTTAGGATGAAAAGGTGAATAAGGAAAATACAGCTTCAGCCCTCTTGGAACTTTTCCTTTTTGCTAGGAGACATAAAAGTATTAATCAACCAATTAATTAATTTCAACTACATTATAAGCTAACAGTTTCTGGTGAGAAACTGGAGGAGTCTAAGCCTTGACAATTGTATGCACAGTTGAAATTTACAGAGTACTATTGCCGTAGGTTTTAATTTGAGAGCTAGGCTAGATCTGTACTCCAAAGGCCTAGGAATAAATAGGACTTGGTAGAAATAGAGTAGAAAATGAGAAGACCAAACACTGGATCTTGGGAACCTTCACATTTTAAAATAGGGAAGAGAATGAGGAGCCTGTAAAGGGCAATGGAATGGAATGATAGCACAATGGGAGGACAACCAGGAGAAAATGGTGATAAGAAGGTGTTTAAGCAAAGAAATGTGTTTGAAAGACAACATTTTACATTCAAGGCTGCATTGGCAGAACTAATTCTGCAGAATCAGATGGGAGTATATTGACTAAGGGTAAATAAGGGGAAAGGTATTGGGGACAAAGTGGATAGAAACGTCTTTTGAGAAGTTTATTTGTGAAGGGAAGAAGATAAATAGGGTAATAACTGAAGAAAAATGTGTGTTCATATTACTGGATATACTTTTAAAATCTTTTTACATTGTTTTTAAGGAATGATTTCAAGAAATGGATCCAATGGTACAAAACATATAAAATCAATATTTCTTTTATTTAATAGGCTAAAATTTCTATTTAACTGCTTGTTTAGTAAACTAAAATCTCAAGCATTGTTGTTTAACAGTTTTTAAATACTGGTGGATTCGAATTTTTTCCATTTGCTTTGCTATTTTGAATTCCATTTAGGGTTTATCTTATGACATTAACTGTAGTTTTATATTGTTCTTATGAATTATGCTTCTTAATTCTTTATATATAAATCTTTTATGCAGATGTTAGCTATATTCCTATGATGCAACTCTGTCAGTTTTACATTAATGCATAACTGTTCATTTTCTTTATGTTTTCCCCTAGTGCCAGAATATTATGCATGTAGAACCAATCCCTGCCCATTCTCATTCCCCTAGTGAGTTCATGAATTACCAGTTCCCTGTTATGTTTTAAAATTTTTACATTGATTATATATTTCATAGGATTTAATTTTTATCTATGATATAAGAATCTAAGTTGATTTTTGTCTAGATTGCCAGCCATTTATCCCATTACCATTTATTGAAACCTCTTCTTTATTAACATCTAAAATGTCCTTAATTCTAAACTTAATTACAATGAATATAACAATTTGTGGGCTTTTAAAAAATTACTCTGGCCGCCTAATTTCCCTTACTATCACTGTGTTTATACTCTTGTTGCAGTTTATTTTCTGGTAGAGCTAGATATTGTAACAATTTTCCTTGTTCTGTTCTTTGATATTTTTAGTTGACCTTTCCTGATTAACTTTTTAATTGTCCTATAGCAGTCAGCGTTCATTTTATACAAATCCTGAAATTTTGTGATTCAAAAATAACCATACTGCAATGAATATATAATTCTGAGGAACTTATTTCATTCGATGAAAAATTGAAACTGGATTAGAGAATTTTTCTCCACAGAATCTAAGGTAGGGAACAAAAATGAGATTGAAGCCAGCAGAAAGTACAACTTTAGCTAGCAAAAAAAGGGGTGGGTGGAGGAGGGAGGAGAAGGAGAAAGAATAATTCTGCAAATAAGAAAACATTAAAAAATAACAGAAATACAGAATGTAACTTAAAGAGTCACCCATAATTCACTATGTGGAATTCTTCATGGAACCCCAGTTCTGCTCATAGACAACTCAACTTCCCTGAGCCTGTTTTCTCAAATGAAAAATGGGATAAAAAATTTATAAAGCTGATATAAGTATATTTTTAAAGCACTTAGGATAGTTTCTTCCTAATAAAGGGTAGCACTTTTCTTCATTTTCTCAATATAGGTTTATGTGAGAATATTACGTGTCTTTTTCTATAAAATGGGTTTTCTCCGTAGGTGACTGACAAAAATTGGCTGAATTCTGGCAAGGACTTTATTTAAAGATTTAAAAACAACCGAAAAAATTAGCCAGACATGGCAGTGTGCGCCTACGGTCCTGGCTACTTGGGAGGCTGAGGTGGAAGGACCACCTGAGCCCAGGAGGTCAAGCTGTCATGAGCTGTGATTATGCCCCTGCACTGCAGCCAGAGTGAGACTCTGACTTTAAAATTTTTTAAAAATGGGTGTGCATTATATCAAAGATACATCTGATTTATATTCAGTCAGCACAGTAGCTTAAGTTAATATTCAATATTGGAAAAAAATATCCTAGGTTGAAGTGGGAAAGACATATTGGTTTTTGTTTTCTTGATTCTGGAACCAGGCACACTTCTCCTGGCACCTCTCCCTGCCTTCCTGGATCTATTCCTTCACTTTCCTATCACAACAGTTTCCT